GAGAAATCAGCTGCCCTGTGTTTTAGGTCCACTGCTAACAAAGTGATTCTTCGGCGAGTCGCGCTCAATTTTGAGGCAAATCCCATTTTTAAAGTCATGTCACAGCTGCTGCTAACTGATTGGCGGCCCTTCATTAAGGAAATAGGTGGTCATTTCTCCTTTCCCTTTGACCTTAATGACCCCTCGGCATTCCAGCTGATAGTTGTTGGCTGCTAAAACCTGGTACAGGTCTGTGGTTACCTGTGGAGGACAAAAAGCTGGATTACACCATCGCAGCAATCCAGGCAACAGTTCACGTAGGCTGCTACGTTTCCTCAAGTCCCCTCATATCGACCACCTTATAGTTGAGGTGGCTACTTACCAACCCAATGCGAGCTGAAAAGAATGAGGTTGAAGCAGGTGCAGCAGCTATTCTGCAAAGGGGGCTGTGACTGCCAGAGGCGGGAGGGGATGTTACCCGAGGGAGGACTCTGCTACAAGGGGCCTCCGTGAAACACAGGCCGGCTGCAGCCCTAAGACTTGCACCTGACCATCCGAAAGAATGGCTTAGCAGGTGACAGCGCCTTAGCCGGCCTCAGGAAGGTAGCTGTGTGGCAAATTCAGATAATATGCTTGGCTCTTAACAGTGTTGAAGTGGTGCTGTAGCCGTGATAGTCCAGGAAATAAGTGAGAGGCATGGATATCTTACTGGACAAACCACACAGTTGGAAGAGATTCAGACAAGCTTTCAGGAAGAGTACTGTGATACCTGAAACCTTGTCTAAATTTATCCCAACCAGGCTTTTAGGCCCCCTGGTGCTTATGTCATTTCTCAGGAAACCAGAAACTAACTGAATCAAACTGGAAGCACACTAGGAGCTCGGATGGGTGAAAGAAAGCAAAGAATGCAGCTGTCATCCGAGACAAATGACATTTTTACGCACACGAGCTGATCTAGCACAGCCTTTTGCAACTTTCCACTGAGCTCCCATTTCCCACAGGTTACTGCAGTGGACATCGTTAGCAGGATTGGTACAGAAAAGCAGCGGATCTCAGGAAGACGAGTGTTGTATTGTCCGTGCCGTGCTTGTGGACTCAACAAACTCACCAAAATATGGTCACCTTGAAAACTTAAAGCTGTCAAACCCCGTTAAAGTCTGTGCCCATGCACAACTGTTCCTTGCAGGGTCTTTTATCATGCAAAGTGTATTCTGTGGGTATTTGTTTCCAGTTTTACCTTCAAACAGCTGGAAAATCACTGTGCTGATTTGTTTAAAAAGCAAGAAAATAGCTCTGATATTCTCTGTTTAAAAGGTACTGGATAAATATTGACCCACTTAACTGACAGCTTAATTGTGGGGAAGAGCAACATGGCCCCCCCACTTGGATTCAGCATCAGTTGCTCTATTTTAACAACTCCTTCATGCGGCATAAAGAATGATGATACACAACCGTGGCATCAACTCCTAGAGGAAACAGGACCGTATGCGCCATGTGACAATGGAAATGAATCACGGGAAAAGGTCACTGTCAGAACATAGAACAAGGAGCTTGATTAAAATAAGAAAGACAACATTAATCTGAAAACTGCTCACTGTTTCTCCAGATAAACTGTTTCACGCCTCTCTGGGTTTCTGGTGCAGTTGCACAGGAACAGCGTATCCCATCCTTACACTATACATGGCTTCACCGTGACAAATGGAGACAGCTGAGTTTCCTAAAAATGCTCCTATGGCAGGTAATGGCAGCTACAGAAACACATGTGTAAATCAAGTTCTTGTGCACCAAAACACCTCCAAGATTTTTCCTTGCAGCTCTTTCGGAGGAGGCTCTCGGGGGATAGATCCCAACCTGTACCCTGCTCCCAAGGGAAAAGAACAGTTTCTCTCTCCTTTGTCTGGCACCATGGCATAGGCACGCAGGAGCTTACCATTTCCCTCCCTTAAGTACTTTAATACCAACCCTCATGACTCCCCTGGAAGTCGCTGCCCCCCCATTTAAAGGCACAACTCAGGACAGAGTCAGAGTTACCATTTTAAGCTCCAGTCTTGTCCTCGACCAAAAATTCCTGATGGTAATGTCCAAAGGCGTGGCGTAAAGGGATGGCAAAGAGTGAGACGTGATCTTTGATTAGGTTTGAAATCACATGAGATAACAGCACAAGGTAATACTGTAGGTATCTGAAGTTAATTCAAACTCACCTGAATCCTGTCAGGCACACCCGTGCTGTCCATTCGGCTGGCTACATTCACCGTGTTTCCCCAGATGTCGTACTGAGGTTTGCGTGCTCCTATCACCCCAGCTACCACCGGGCCAATATTGAGACCTACAAATAGAGAAAAAATCCCAGTGCTCCAGGTCCATTCTCTGTCCACCCGGCTACCTGAGCAGGCTGTTTTATCAGAGCACGTGAAAGTCTTGAGGTTTGCATTTCCCTCTATACAGCTAGGGATAATTCATAAGGCCCCTTGGATTGTTTCTAGCTGTACAGTATATATGGTCTGGCTCTTAGCACCCATAGAGCCCATCTGACTTCCCTAGCACACAAGCACATTAAGGAGTCTTCTCATGCTCTCTCTCATCTCTTTTGGGGGTTTTTTCTCATGCTTTGTCAGAGAGAATTTAGTGCTCAGAAGCGGTGACTGAATGACAGGCCTTGTGAATAAAGGCTGTGGCCCAAACCCGGATCCCATTCTGATGGGGAAGTAGCATGTAGATAATATAAGACTTAGATCCAACCCGCCCCCAGGACTCTCTGGGCCTTTCCGAAAGGCCCACTCCTGCCACCTGTGCTCTTAAGAGTCTATTCTGCTCCAGTAGGTAGGTAAGCTAAAGTCTCAGAAACATCAATCTCAGAAAAACCAAGCCTAGGGCTGGATGGTGGAAGCGGTCCTCCCACCTTTCAGCCCGATAACCTAAGTGTTAGGGCACGTCCCTAGGGAGTAGGAGAAAAGACACGGGTTTTACATGCCCTGTGTCCCTCATGATGTTTGACCCTACATCTCCCACTCCCCAGAAAAATATTCAATCACCAGCCTATGGGTGAGGCATTGCCCAGAGCAGCCGAGAGCCCACTTTGCTATGACAATGCTACTTAGCCATCTAGCAGCAGAGGTGGATTTGGACCCATTGCCCATAAGAGTTGTATCATGGGCACTAAGTGCATGGCTCCCAACATTGCCCCAACATCCTTCAGCCTTGATGTGGTGAGACCACTTTTTGGTTAAAACCCTCTTTGCTGCCTACGTAACAAACCTAAGTCATGAGAGATCTAGTTGTGGCTTCTGCCTTGTGAACACTTGCTCTCAAAGAACTGGATTAAGACTGCTGTGTAGATACAGCAATCGCAAGTACTTTTCCATCATTGCAGGTTGGAGTAATTGAAACTAGTCAAGGTCTTGTTATTCAAAGCAGACGAGGCTACAGCTACAACAGCTCTACGTTTAATGTTTATCTAGGTAAAGTAAAACTCATTACATTACCTATTTTCATCTGAAAGTTGTTGAACGAATGCTCATTAATGTACTTCATTTGGTCCATTAACCTCATGGCAAAGTCAGCCAGAGCCTTGATGTGCGTTTTCCCCACCTTGTCATAGGTGGAGTCATTGAGGCCTGAAGCAGCCATGTATGTACTGCCAATGGTTTTGATCTTCTCCAGCTGTCGGAACTGGTCCTCACTTATTATCTGTGTCACAAGAGCAGAACAAAGATACTCAATAAGACGCAAGCTATTCTGTGCTACCCAAGACATCACTGGAACTCAACCCTACAGGAAGGCACAGCCACTATGAAGCACTGCTGCCACCAAAGCTTTCCATGGCAGAAAAAAAAATGCGATCAGAATCGATAAGTCTAGCGGAAGGAAGGGGATTATTTGCAGCAGTGGAATGGGGCAAGGAAGAGAACGTGACTTTAAAATAAGACAATTCAAAAACTTGGGTTTTTCCCTTCTCCTTTGGAGCAACAAAAAAGAAGCACACATGGATCCTCTTTGCTCAGGCAGCTGAACTCAAGGAAGACGAAAGGCTGCACTTCCTGCGACTCACTTCATCAAAGTCCGCGATGATTTCGTTGAGGAGCCGCAGACACTCCACCCCTTCGTTGTTGGCCTCCAGCTCCACGTAGAACTCCGAGAAGTTGCTGATGGAGGCGAACATGACGGCCACGCACTCGCAGGACTGGTAATAGAGCTCGTCGTTTCGCCGCTCCTGCGCCAGGAAATGGGCTGCCACATCCTTTGGCAAGATATTGTGGAGGAGGCGTCGGTTGTAGGCCTGCAGCTCCTCCATTTCCTCTTTCTCTTCAGTGGCCTAAAGCAGAAGAGAGACACAGCTGTATTGGTCATCCTGGTCTGTGCTTTGGGGGGCAGAAAACTGAAAACAAGCTTACAAAAACCCGAGAACATGAATGCACTTCAGAAACGCTTCAGAGCAACCGGGGTCCATCATTTCCAGCCTGCTCCCACCTCACAGGATTGTGTCATTTAGTCCCAGAACAAGCTGAAGATAAGGTGTGGCCTGGTTTCTCACTCCCCCACCACATGCATCATTACTACGCAGAGCAATGTAAACCATTCTCCCTGGCGTAGCTGTAATTACGCATCACCAGCATTGCTTCTCCTCACTGATCTCGGGGCTAGAGGGGGAAGCCAAAGTGGGTGGTGGGGAGCGGAGGAGGGAAGGGGCGCAAGGTTTCCGAGCTCTGTGATTGGGAGGCCTGTGAAGAGAGATGGAGACATGCGTGTGTGGGGGACGGGACGTGAAGGGGTGTTAGGTGCTTTGGATGGGGCCTGCACTGAGGGAGGGGATGGGGAAGCCAGGGGTATGCAGCAGAATGGAGGTGCAGGGGCGCCCATTACCAGGGCTGGGTGGGTATCCCATTCTGCCCCGTTTCAGGACACACTGTTGGTCAAATGAAAAGAATTTTGGCTGAAGTTTATTACTCTGGACCCAAAGCCTATTTCCATCCCAGCACGCTTGATTTCAAAAGCCTGCCAAACTGAGTATGTGCAACTCTTCTCGCAGCCCAGTGCAAAGGAGAGCAGTCGGGACGCAGTTGTTCAAGTCCGAACAGTAAGTGGCATTACAACACTGTCTCTCTGCAGAAAGCTCCTAAGTCAAAGGAAATGCAATTTGCACAACAACATCTGCCCATACATCTTGACGCTCACGAAAAGTGAGCTCACAGAAAAATGGATTCGTTGAGTCCAGCACTCCAATTTGTCCTACACTCTCAGCAACCCTCTTGAACGCAACTGCAGTGCAAGACAGGTCCTTGCCTGTGGACTGCAACTTGCACCCCGGCCTGCTCTGGGCAGCCACAGCCTACAGCTAGTGACTTTCAGCTCAGCCTGCAAAGACAGCAGCTCTTCCAGTTCAGGTAAAATGAAAGCAGGTCTGGGAGTGAAGGGCAGAGAAGAGGGTATTTTGTTTCTGGATACTGGTCCAATGTGGATGGATTTAGATACTGTTAGATAGAACCAGCATGTTAGGATAGAGGTTCTTCCACAGGTCCTGCTGAGTAAAATGAAAGTACAAGCTCACTACAATAATCCGGCTTCCCAGATAATTGCTCTTCAGGGATTGCTCCAAGTTCTGTTTGCAGACTTAATTAGTGCCAGTGTTGCACCAACTGAAATCCACTGACTATAGTAGAGCTACTTTTGATTTATTGGCTGGAGGACAGACTCAAATGTGCATGCATTGCATCTTTCTCCTCTCTACTGCGTGCTAACAACCTCTCCCCCACCTCCATTTTTACATAATTCTCAAAATTTCTGAACAAGGGGAAAAAAATCTGTGCAGGTAGCAAATGCAACCGGCAAGACTAACTTTATGCAACCACCCTCCTCACAGAAACACCAAAGGGCTGCCCTGCATGTGTCCTCTGGACATCAGGACTTCCATGGATCAGCCATCTGGCCTTCTCCACTTATGCAGAGGGCCACTTCTGGGTATGACAAAAACAGGGACATGGAAAACACTTTGACCCATCTGGAGAAGCACCTGAAGAATCCTGGCTTTGGCATGGAGCATCAAGTAGCCATGGGCAAGTCACCTGACATCTTTGCTCGCTCCATCTTTGGTAAGATCAAGATGATAGTATTTATGTACAATCCAGGAAGGCATTCACTAACCACGCGGTTTAAATGTACACATTGTCAGTGTGGTGTCTTGTGTCCAAAGGGACTAGGACCTGAGCAAGAGAGAGAGGGTCATACGCCTATTACAGCAGCGGCTCTCCAGAGTGCCACAACACACGTGCAACTGCCCTGCGCACCCAGACAGAGAAGGGCTGCAGCAGGGGTGAGGGCTCCTGCCTGCATTAGCCAGCCACGAAACCTGCAGCAGGCAGGACCACTTCAGAATCCAGCAACAGCACTAAAGAAAATGTGGAGTGCTTGGTCTGTGACTTTTGCCAAGTCCCCTTGCCTTCCTGCACCTCCATTCAGCCTGCTGTAAAACACGGTAGCACCATGGTCCAGAGGATTAGGTACGCCAGGTGCTTTTAGACTCCGGAGTGAAAGATGTCATCGAACTGGGGAGTATGTTGGGGTATCTGATGGACAGCCACAATCAGGTCAAATACCCGGACATCTTAGTGCACTGGTATCATCAGGCCTTTAATGCAAAGCGTGGCAGATGCGCGCACACCACCACTCACCTGAAGTTTCCACAGGAAGTCGAGCCTTGCTGTGGACTCCACCTGCTGGGCATGCAGATATAACGCCAAGACGAACACAGTTATGACGACTGGGGTCACGATCTTCAGTGCCACTCTCGTTATTGTTGGAGAGCTGCAGTCAAGAGGAGGATGAAACCCTATGACTATCATGTTCCAGGGTGTAACCTGGAAGAACATTCCTCACATTGAAGCAACCCAGCTTTTTCTTTTTTCTGAGTGCCATTTGCCAAAACACAGAACAAAACGCGCCATTGTTGCTGGTGACGGCTGTCAAATCTGATAAGTGAAACTGGAAATAAAATTAAACACCTGACAAAGGAGTTTAAATATAAAATCTGTTCTATATGGATGCCCATTATCTGCTCTAAAACTACTGAGATAATGGGGAAACAACTTAAAATCTTGCTTATGCAGCACTATTTATGTATCCTTTGCTCTTGGACAGTCAACGAAACTAGAAGACCGTGGTAAGTTTGCATGTAGTCGATGTGTACTCATTTCTTGGCTTCCACGTATAATTATTCACAATATATCTAGGGAGTTTTATATTGTTTCTACCCTTAAAAAAAAAAAATCTGTATTTGACTGTCAAAATACAAAACTGATTAATAAAATCTTACACTTTTATATCAAAATCAGATCTACAATCTGGACCTATAACTAGTTGCCGTCATCCTTCTGGCAGCATTGCGTTCTGAAGCGGAGCACGTCTGGTCACTATTCAGCACCCGTTCGCTATACTCATGGACCTACTGAAATTGCGATGTTGTGGAAATCACAAAATCCAGCACTGCTTCCAAAATCCATGGAAAAAACAACTTACAAAAAATAAAATGGTGCTGCAGCCCAGCCGTGGAGTCGGCCAGGGGGAGGGCAGCTGCTGCCACAAAGGGGAGTCCAAGATGGCTGCCACATCCCCCATCGTTGGTTGAGAGGGCTGCCTATTGTGTGGCCCCACCCTCAATTGGCAGTGAGGAGCAGTGCCGCATGACGGATAGCCCTAGCAGCCAATCAGTGGCAAGTGGTGGGGCTGTATGGTGGACGGCCCTCAAACAATCAGCAGTGAGGGGTGGGGCCACCAGGGCCTCTTAGCCAATCAGAAGCATCGGAGGGCCCCGCCACAATCAGAAAGCAGAAATGGTGGCCAGCCTCGTGAAATCTGCCAGCCACCTCCTGTAGTTGAGCAGACCCCATCTACACCGAACCGTGTTCAATCACAGAACCGACAAGGAAAAGAAACCTTTGCTCTTGGTGACATGCTAGGACTACTGTACTCTGTGAACGTCTTAAAAAGGCAGCTTTTGGCATCAAATATTTAAACAAGGTGACTTACCATGGCAACGTTGCATTAGAGGACACACTGTGGGGGAAAAAATAAAATCAGACATTTCAGGTGCATATTTTGGGTTGATCTTCTCAGGAGTAACACAAGTCGTTTTATAACATCACTGAGCAACATCTCTACAGTTTTGCAGGTTAACACTGTGTGGTGCTACAGTCCTTTGAACGAGGACTTCTCCCGCATGGTCAATAGTTCACTCCAGGGTGCGCAGGGACACCACTGTAATATTTTCCCGCAGTCAGGAAGGGCGCGAGTTGCATACACATTTTATGTTTAAAGATCCCTGCAAGTGAACTTTGAGAGGATCAAGCGGGATTTTAAATTCAGTGGAAGATGGCAGGCAAAACCAGCTTTTAGACCAGTGGGGGCTAAGGTTTTTGGCTGGTATGCCACAAGCGAAGACCCAAACCCTCTTAAAATGCTATTCGGATCGCCTTTGGCAGGATCTGCTTCTCTGCCTTCCTTACAGCACCATGCACACGTAGGTAAGAAGGTGACGTTCACCTTTTACGCAAACCTTAAGGGCCATTTCAGGTATGAATCTGCACTGCTACTTCTCACCTGGGCACATGGCCAAAAAGCAGAGGTATTGGGCAGGCCCAAGGGCATGCTTCTTGTAATGAAAGAGTAGGAAAGAAGTTTTTGGCAAGAAGTAGGTTTCTAGAGCTCTGGTCTGATCGGTTGTTCAATGCTGCTGTAGCATAAATGGAACATGAGAGTGTGTAGGACCATTGTAGCCATCTTTTTAACTATTTAAATGTAAATAAGCAAGCATCAGCAATGATTATGTTGTCTTTCTTTAGTGTATATGGTGTTTTATTGGCAAATAGGATAGCAGAACCTTGTCCTGAGGATTCAGACCATCTTGGAATAACTTTGAACTATATTATTTGGCAATGTTTCAACGTTCTTCTTAGTCTCCTTGATCACCTACTATAGAAGCAGACAGAGGGTCCATCAAAATCCAACTGGCTACAAAGCCTAGTGGAAAAACACCTTTGGTTCCCTGATGCAATTGCTTCCATAGGACTTTCTGCTATGCTGAGCACTGGTTTCCTCCTCTGATTTACAGATCTACCCTGCACATTCATCATTACGAGGCCTCTTGGCCACCCACATTGCTACCTCAGCGAAAGCAAAAAGTGAAAATGTGAGCTGGGAACTTTGACAAAAGCCACTCCCATATCTGATCTAAAAATGCACGTCTGCAACACAACTGTGGCATGCAGGGAAATAGCAGTCAAGGTCTGCTGAATAACAACAGCAACTGCTTGCTGCACAATGTATTTGCATTAAAAGGTTGCTCCAACGTGGGTCAGAGATTTCTGAGAGCAGATGGCTCTTTCATCAAGGAGGCGGCAGCATAACGAGACCTACAGGATGGGAGACACTAAACAAATTCAGGCTCGACATAAAGCGTCAATGTTTACTGATGAGGATAGTTTCGGCACAACTCCCTAGGAACATCGTATTCTCCACCCCTTGCAGTCTACATCAGACCTTTCTAAAAGATATGCTCTAGCTCAGACAGACATTATGGGCTTAATGAGGAAATGATAGGGTCAGTTCTTTGGCCTCTGCTAAAATCATATCTAGATAATTATATTGGTCCCTCTTAACCTAGTATTTATAATGTATATTTATGTCCTGCCTATGAGAGGAGGCTTACATGACAGCATCTTTGGACTTCTGAGTACAATTCAGCTGTCATGCTGCTCGTGTGTCACTGTAGTCACATCTAGTGACTAACAATGTGTTACAATTGGCTTCTGCTTGCTTAGTTTGCACACAGAAGTGTGAAGTGACATCTCCCTAACTGCTAATTAGACACGGTGCTGCAGTGGCTGCAGAGGAGACAGTTATTATGTAGCTATGACAGGTGTTCAATTAAAGTAACACAGGGACGAGTTCTGTACGTCAGCTGGACAAGCAGGTACATCTCTGCTGGGCTGTATCCTGACCACCCGTTTCCCACAAGGCACAAATGGACTGCCATGTTTTGGGCATTAGCTGTGTCCTGAGCTTTTAGTGCAACTAAAAATCATTTAATGACAGCATACAGCAGCACAGAAAGGACTTTCTGGGAAAACCTGCTGATTTCCATCACCTCATTACTGACTCGGAGTAGCGAGGTAAATTACACTTGTAAGTGCTGCAATCTGTCTTAGTGCTAGATTTACAGGAACAGGACGAGGCTTGGGGTAGAAGGCTTTTTTTATAATTACATTTTGTATTTTTTCTTCCAACAGCTGAAGCTATTTAGCAATTTTTTTCCCCTTAAAAGAGGGGAAGAGACAGTGACTTTCAGTAAAAATACTAAAAATGCACATGGGTCAGAAGCAATACAAGTTGCATTTGGCTCCCAAAACAGCTCCCTTTGCTTGTGCTAGCAAAATAATTGAAGGTATTCTACTGGAAATGTAAGGAGAACCCATAAAACCGCAAAATCGTGGGGCTGCTAATTAAAGGGATTTGGGACTTTCCGAAAACTGAGCATGTGCAACTCGCAGCAATCAACAGGCATCAAGAAAGGCTTGAAACCGCATGGGCTACTTACCTCCTACACGGAAGTAATTAAGACAGACCCTAATGAAAGAATGGAATCTGTCATGTAATCTGTAGAGAGCGTGTGCATGTGTGTGTGTGTGTGGGGGGGTGTACCTCTGTTGTGAGCCTCTGATTTCCTTAAGCGAGTTACAGGAGAAATGGAAAGAGGGGAGAGGTCAGCTGCATTACTGCAAGCCCTATGCTGCAAATCGGTGACCGAGCTACTTCCCTGGGGAAAAAGAGATGGCTGGACAGTCCCATTCAGTCTTGGCTGAAGTTGCTAGTGCCACTCGCGATGCTGATTTCGGAGTTGTGGCTGCCTGTCCAGCAGTGACCGCAGGATCAATAAACAGATGTCAGACAACAGTAACTCTTTTAAATTAACGCCAACCAAAGCTGGATTTAAAACAACATTTTAGAAGTGAAACTCGGCCCCCACCTTTTTCTTTACCAACAATTCTTGAGTATTTACATGTTCCAAGGTGGGCACGAGTGTGTTAATAGAGGGGCCAGACGCTATTCCACATGTTAATCATTCAAATGGCACTTAGGCATCCTAGTGCAATCCTATTCCACCCTAATCAAATCCCTGAAGACTGTACTTTTGTCACATGCCTTCATGTTATGACTAAGTCGCAAAAATCTGCACAGAAGAGGAGGATCCACTCTTGCTTTTGCATTCATGGTTTTTCAGGTATTCAACCAGGGTGAAACAGGACCACACTTAGATGCCTGTGCATTATATAGGTGCCTAACAGAAAAAGGATCTGGTCTGCTGTATACCGAAAACCAAAAACATCTTGCAATCAGAATGACTAACAGCAGCTCCCATGCCAAGACAAAAACTCCACACTTTGATCCTTCACCCAGGAGCCAAATTTCATCTCCAGGAGAACTGCCATTTCCAAGTATTAGATGTCCATCAGGTGAAGACTAGCAACACTGATGGAGACTGCAAGTAGTGCCATACTGGGTCAGACAACTGGTCCATATCTAGTCCTGTATCCTGTCTCTGTCAGTGACAGGAGTGGATGCTTTAGAGGGAAAGCATTGAACTGGGTATATCTAGAGTATCTGCTCCCGTACATCTACCAGCATCGGTATCGAGATGCCGGAGAAAGCATTTCCATCAGTTCTGTTTAATAGCCATGAATAGATCTAGTCCCTTTTTGAACCTGGCTGTACTATGTGCCTGTACAACCTTTCTGTAAGTTAATTATGCCTTAATTTATGAGAACTCATGTTGCCTGCACAGGTCCTGTCTCCAATACTGCGGTCCCTGAATACAAATCTTCCTCATGACACAGTGAAGTCACATCATTTAAACCACGGGGAAGCAGCGGGGTGGGAGGGGGGTTAATTTAGTAAAAGGAAAGCACACTTACTGGGCATTCGCAGTGACCAGAAGATCAGCATTGTCGAAAAGGTTCACCCCGGGAACCTCCACAATAAGAACGTAGATAAATTCGATGATTAGCATGAGGATCAGTTTCCCGATGCAGCTGATCTGAAGGAACACAGAGCAGGCCAGGAGACTCAGTAAGACACTGTAGGTAAAATACTGCAGAAAGACAAAAAAGGGGGGAAAAAAAAACACAAGAGAAAAATAAGTCTTGGGACTGGTAACCAGGTACCTGAGCTAAACGAATTTGTAGGCTGGGGGCCAAGATATTTGGTCACCCAGGATACCGTTACTAAATCCCATTAATAATTAGGTCTAGTAAGTCATGGCCAAACTCTGCTCTCTGTTAAACTTGCACAACATCAGGGGTCTGCGTGAGACTATGGGTGCAGACACCCTGGTCAAACGGGCCCCTGGAGTCTCAGGTGAGAAGCCAACATCAGCAGCCAGTTTTGGAAACGTCCCCCCTGTGGATGACGGCTGCCATGACCGACGGGCCCTGTCAGCGGGATCAGGGCTTGGCGTTCCTGCTGACGAAACACCAAGACCCAGGAGGAGTTGAGGTCTCAAGGCTGAGGCTTGGTGGGAAAAGCCTGGAGAGCATTTCTAGTCTCTAAGCACAGAAGTGGAGAGTGAACGTGGCCCTTGGTAATTTCAATTTCTGCAGACAGACGTTGGCAAAGGTCACGTGGACTTGCAGGGAAACAGCAAACGGCTCCCACTGGGTGGTGAGAGTGCCTCAATAGCCCCTTGAAATAACTGGGCTTGAAGCTATCGGAGACATGAATCATTCCAGGAAATCCAAGACATTGATGCAAAGGCTGCCAGCGCCACAGATTTCTCTCTCCCCCACACCTGGTGGAAAATATTATGGCTGTGACCTAAAAAAAAAAAATCGCAGAAGTGTCTTGATCAGCTGCCCTAAAGGCAGAGATTTCAGGCACAGAACTGTTTGGCTGCACGAAAAATACTCATTGCACGATGCGAGTAACACGGAAAATGGCTCTAAAGAGACAGGATTTGCATTTCTGAATCAGACAACTCAGTCCCTCTCAAGCTGGCTATGTTGTTTCCAGCCACGGCTCATACCCGGTGACCCAAAGAAAGTCAGAATTCAAGCAAGCCGAAGCTTTCAAACTGGCTCCCTACAATTAGGCTCTTAAAACCTCACCTATGTACATAAATGAATTGACTTCAAAGGTGCTGAGTGCCCTCATCTTCTGAAATCCCTGGTATCATGCACGCTGCTTTTGGCACTTTGACAAATCAGGTCATAACAGCATGGCTCTAAGTGCTGGATCCAGCAATTATAAAAGCATATCACTTACTCAAGTGTCAAGGAATTTTCCGGGTTGATGTGCATGCCTAACGGCTGTGGCTTGATACACAGAGCATCGCCGCATCCCACTGACTTCAATCAGAGCTGCGAGTGCTATCAAAAAATCAGTCCACTTATTTAGCTGCCTCGCTATGGATTTATGCACATAACTTGACACACTGAGTCTATGAATATTGACCCCTCATCGATTCTGCACCACTCAATATGAAATGCGGGTGACAGCTCCTGTAGCAATTGGTATCCTCCTGCTTCACTGAGATTTATATTAGCATGTGGAACTGAGCACAGATCACAGCAAGGTCTAAAACCTCTGTAGCCTGCAAATACTTCTTTCAAGCAATACCTCGGGGAAGTTGCAGGTGGGCAGGGAGCCATCACAAAATCCCTGCAAGGTGCCCAGGCTGAAGTTGAAAGATGAGTTGCTGATGAGGCAGATCACATGGTCTGGTGTGACATTGTACTCGGTGGCCAAACAGCTGACGAGATCCACGGTGTTGCACATGAACTAGGAAAACAGATAACAGTTGCATGTATGTGTGTGGTGGGGGGGAACAAAGACACAGACACAGAAAAAAAAGCAACCTGCAAAAATCGAAAAGCCCCTTGAAGGATGGTATGGAGGATCATACAATGCGCAACACAAAAAATTACCAGGATATATCCCATGCCCCAGTTTTCATAATAAAGCTGCTTATCCGTGCAGTTACTGTTGTATTTACACTTGGTAGCAATTACTGCTTTGAAAAAAAGGGATGCGCTGATGGTCTCTCCTTGCTAATAACCTCACAAAGGCTATTGCAGGAGCCTCTTTCATGGGAAAGGCTTTTACACAAAGGCTCAAAGGCCCTAGCTGCTGACTTGCCACAAAGCAAGAAACCAGCAGATTTCCACCCAGCCTTCTCTGTGACTGGCCTGATTAAGATTTGAGTTTGTACCAGTCCATGGCTAATTCATTGTTAGAACAGCTAGCGATGGCAAGAGGGCCAGGCACTCCAGGTGGTGATGCACAATGCCTGGGACTAAGGGTCTAAATCCCACACAAGTTCATCGTTATGGTACTGGCACCTAACCCCACACCCATAGCTCAGCCTCTTGCCAAAACAGGCTGCCAAACTAACCATAACAGTGCCCTTCTCCAGCGCCTCTCAACCAGTGACCATGTTTATCTCCCTCTTCCAGACGGGGAAACAGAGGCACAGTGATATGCGCAGGCACATTTCTCAGAAGTGCTGAGGACTCAGCATTTTCACTGAGCTTGGGGAGAGCAGGTGTGACTTGGCACTTTTTAACGGCACACCAAGGCTGTGGGGGGGCTGCGTGAGTTAACACAACTTGAATCCAGCTCCCAGCCCAGAGCTTCAGAGCAGAACCAGCGTTTCTCTCCAAAACCCCTGAGATGGGTGCACAATATTGAGTTACACTTTAAAAACAAATGCAGTCAGCAAACTAAAAAACGTAAGTAATAGACTATTAAGAACATTCGCTTCATTCTTTGACACTGAAATTAGCACAATTCTGTATTCCTGGGATGCAAAAAAGTCCAAATGTGTCACTTAAAGCAAAATCTTTCCAATCTCTTTTAAGTGATTATTACACTCAGCATGAAGCTCAACGCTGTGCAGAAGGCCAGCGCAAAGCCTACACAACACTTCAGTCTCACTCAAAATAGGGATGTAGTGGGAGTTAAAGTGATGCATAAGCCTTGTGCTAGCCCTTTGTGCTGGGGTAGATGTCACTCGCAGGGGAACAGGCCGATAGCACAGGCGCACAAAGACCCCGACCAGGAAGGAAAGTGAACGTGCACAGAAGCAAAACCAGAGCTGGCCAGGCAGGATGCCAGGGAGGTGTCTGGATAACTCCAGTTTCACTATGATCATGGACACGTGGGATGCTGGCGCACGTGACTGCGAGGTTAACTGTTTGGTCATGGGTGCAGCACGCCAGCCAGGCAGGATCAATAAGGAAGGCAACATGGGGGAAAAGAGTAAAGAGGTCAGGGAAACAAAAATCCACGTACCATATTGACGAACGCTGACAGAAATACCAAAATAATGGCACAGACCCCGACTAAGGTGCTGTTGGTCCTGGACTGAACAATCTTCTTTGAGAGAGTCTGGAGTGGAGCTGGGAACAGCTGGATGTGAGATAAAGAGTACGTCAGGTCGTGATGAAACCTTATGTCCCCCTGTCGAAGGGGCAGTGCTGGCTCAGGATCAAGGACCTGTCTTTTACCCTGCGTTTTTTGGAAGAAGGCAGTATTCATTAACATGACTGCACTGTGGCAGCCTGGCCTGTGGACTTGTCAGATCTAGCTGAAAACAAGTTTGTCCAAGCCAGAAAAACGTGGATATCCTGCCTGGGTAGATGAGTTAACCGAGAGCTAACACAGACAGCTCACAGCTTCTAGCTCCTGGTTATGGACTGAAAAAAAAGGCTGGGGGTGCAAAGTCCCTGGTATCCCAGGACAGGGTGCAGACCCCACAGACACTTTGGAAAGGTAAACTGTGCCTTCTAAAGAGTGCTTTAGATCGCAGGATCTTCTCTCTCTGCACTGAAAGGCACTTGCTTTCCAGCTCTCTTCTCACAATTAAGCTACTGGATCGTCTTCTTTATACAATTAACCACTTGGCTACTACCAGGGCGCCTTCAGAACCGGTGGCTCCCCAAGTGTTGCATGGTATTTAGACTGGAAAGATTTACAGTGAATGTCTCCTTTAAGCAGACTTCCCCTGGCCACCCGTCTTCCAGAAAAGCAACATTGCCAGAGGCCTCCCTGCAGCACAAAGCACCGTCTGTGCTGCTAGGCCAGTCCTACAGGGTTAGGATAATGTGCTGTTTATTAAACCATTTGTTTCCCCAGTTGTCTATGCTCATTCCTACCTCCATTTGTTCACTACCCCATGGCACGAAGCTCACAGCAGCAGAGGAGAGACTCCTCTTGAACTCAGATGTTAGGAGAGGCCTGAGAATTATCCACCTTCCCCACGGACCAAAAAGCATCGTTTCTGCAATGCTCCCGAGCATCATTACTTCAGGGCTAAACAAAACGGCTGCTGATCTAGCTCCAACCCCTTCTCTGCATCAGCACGCTGCACTACCAGCCAAGCCACTAGAGACGGTAGGAATCCACCAGCACAGTGATCCTGCACTGCAATGCAACTGTGCATGCAGCATCCTTCGCAACTCCTGCTTCTCCCTTTTATCCTTCATCCTTGCATCTTTAGAGGTGCAACGTTTTGCTGGCGACCTGCTTCCCCTTACAGCAGTCCCACCTCGTATTTATAAAATTGTTTGAATGGTGGGAACATGGATTAGCTGGGGACTTTTACAGAGAGAGGAGAGGGCATCTGCAATGGTGCTGCACTTTTTGAAACAGGTTACTCCATCTGCTTCCAGCACACAACTATTTAACCTACCTCCCAGCAGGGAAAGGGGTGCTGCCCACGTATGAAGGCGAGACGGGTCAGAAGGACATAGGGTCCTGCCAAATTCTCACCAAACAGACGCACGCACTGAATGACCCACCGCCTGTGCTACAAGGTCCTACGGCATCCACAACTCCAGTGGGCAATTTCATTTCTTTCTTTATTTACAAGATTGCTTTGCAGAAATGACACGGCCCTGTTACTACAGCAGTTCTAGGCACTGCAGACAATTCAGAGCCAAGGTCCCGAGTTCAAGCTGGTAGACACTCGTGTTCAACTCTAGAGCAACATGGTTCAGTCTGTGGTTTGCTGGCCAAGGTGGTGCCTATCACATCTTTTTTTTTTTCTGATTTGGTATTGCACATCCATATCCCACAACTCAACTCCTCAGCTTTTGAACTGGATGGAAACTCCATCGGTTTGCAGATTTCTAACTAATCTGCAACGGAAGCTGCCCAAGCCTGGAGCTAGAAAGCTTTTGCTATGGCAGAACCTATGATATCTGAACTGAAACGTCAGGCCCTGCGACCTCAGTTCGGTCCAAGATTGGAGAGAGGGTCTGAAGAGCTGAATTCATTTTCAACCCACGTGTTCAGAGCTGGTACCAGTCACCCCCTCTTACATGGCACCAGACAGGGTATGCCCCAGGTACTTTTGGAGGCAGGGTCTCTGGAGGAAGATGACAATGGGGCATGAAAAACCCCTCCACTTGGACCCACGTGGTTCCTGGACTTGTGGATACAGCATGCATCAACATCACTGGGAATTGGGCATGTGGAGCAATACAGCCTTCAAACTCTAGTGGCTAGAAGAACACCAAAAATATCTACACTGAATTAAGATTTATGGCATCACTGTATGCTCGACGCCCTGGTGAACGTCCATGGGCCTCAGGGTGGCTACTCCTGATTTATACTTAAGTAGGATGAGAAAAGAACCAGAAACCAAGACTTTTGCTCTAGCATCTAGAAGTCTAATGAGGGTGCTTTTTTTAATTAAACGGTGTTTCAATATTCAGCCCAAATCATCAGTGGAGTTTTTAAGAAGCTAAACTGGAAAGAAGCAGCCATATTTGCAAAATGCATTTCTCTGGGGGGAAAAAAGAAGGAAAAATCTCAGGGGAGGAAACAGGGGAATTAGCAGAGGATTTCCAGTTATCATTACTGAAGGAGCTGTAGCAATTCTTTATTTAACAAGTACAGCTTAATAAGAAGCAGCACTAAGGGCTTGGCTTCACTCTTCCAAGGGCTGGACATGCACTAAATTAACTCCCATAGCAGTTCCCTAAAGTGATCTAGATGAGAACTGTTCTCATTTGACAAACAGAGAATCTGAGATAACAGCCAGGAGTTTCCCCGTGGTTCAGCAGGATGTGTAGAGACAAAGCGCTTACCCAAATCTATTCGGGAAACAGTGGCAGAACATGGATCAGAACTGGTCGCGTCTCCCTAACTCCCGGTCTCATGCTTCGGCTACAAGAGTATGATGCCTGCAGCCCTTCCTACATGGGATCAACTTCAAACCAACCCTGGGACCCTGAACAAAACACTTTGATGAAGAAACTCAAGCTAGAAACTCTAGTAACAAACATGCCTTCTTTGCACACATCTTGGCTATGCACAGATGCAACTTTGAATCACTCTGAAAGAGAAAAGGAGCTGTCACTCAGGAGCACGCCTCAGCTGTGCCAACATAATAGTTGTGTTTGCTGGCTCCTGTAGCAATACACATGAGTTAATTAACTGTAACTTTAGCCCTGAAGGAAACAGGGTTCAGGTTACAACAGTTTGGTTACAACTACAAAGCAGGCAGATGTAACAGGTAGGATGCAAAGGATGATATCAAGACCTTTTGATGCAAATACAGTTGTTACATTTGTCTACTCCCCTTCTCAGTTCTCTGCAAAATGGGGAACAGCTGACATCAAATAAAATACGTTGTGGAAAAAATGAAGGATAAAAAATAATGACTTTCTAACCTCAGCAAATTAGAGTTATAATGGGCGTAGTAAGCATTACCACCTCTATTTTACAGGTAACGAAACGGAGGCCGAGAAGCTAGGATGGGCCAGAGATCTGCAACAGACAGAACTGGTCCATTAATCCAAATGTGATGTTCAAGCCTGTGCTCTAGTCACTGAACAAGGCTTCCTTTACAAACCTGACTGTACAGTAACAGCCACTTATGTTGTAATAAAAGCAGCAAAAAAAGGAAGAGTGAAAGCCCAGTTGAACCTCTTGCTATTTCAGCACTTTGGTCCCTGCTATTAAATGCAATTTGTTTTCTGTTTCAGCCTGGGTCTAAACGGAGAAGGGATGGTGAGGGTTTAATGCAATGGCATGGCATACACCCAGTGAAGCCTGCCTTACATGCCCTGTTGGGAAGGGTTTGGTTGGGCTCCCAAATCCACATGCCATGAAAGCTGCCGTGAGGGAGGAAAGCAGGACGGATTTTCTGAGAATTGAATCCATTCTCATTTAAACTGGATAAGGGGGAAGCAATAAGCACCGTGGAAACTTCCCCATTATGGAGCCTAGGTCAGTGTTTCTTAGACCTAGTGGACACTCTCATGCACCCCGTCTACGTCCCCTACACCTGCTGTACTGCTGCTTGCTTGGGCATGTTGCCTTCTCTGCACCCCCCTCCACAGCATCCAAGCTACCTGCTGGCTCCCCAGCCTCCTGATCTCTGCCAAGGGCTACTCATATGACCCTCTACTGCAGCCGTCACTTCCCCTGTAAGCAACAGCCAGCTGCATGGAGCAGGCAGAAAATTCGTGGGGGTACGAGAGTGCTCACTGGGTTTTGCAGGTGGAGAGGGCCTGGGGGCACCCCTTCTGTGTTGGCTTGAGTCTCCCTTACCCCTCCAGTTATGCCGTTAAGTTAAGACCTCCCAACAGGCCAAGCTGCAGCAATCCCTCCTACAGCACCTGCTTCCTGCTCCAGCCCTGCACAGTGTCTCCTGGAAACAGGTACCCGGGGCAGGTTTACTGGCAGCAGCAACCCTGAAAGGGCCTTGTGGCACCTGGGTTGAGAGTCACTGACCCCGTGTTGTGCAAGTAACATTCAGTTTAAAAGCCAAATCTACAGCAGTATTTCTCAACCTTTTTAGATCTGAGGCACCCCTTGGGAGACTCAAGGCACCCTCAGAAAATACCAGCTCCTAGTTTTCACTTGTTGACTACACAATAATAGTATAGCAATTCTTCTATTGCAAAGAGCTCAGAAAGACCACAGGAGGTCGAAATGTTTTTAATACTGTGGATTCCTGTTTGAAACCTCGGGGTTTATCCTCTGAATCATGTTTGCTCACCTAATGGCGTAGCATCCCACAGCACCCTTGAAAGACTCTCAAGGCACCCCAGGAATACTGACCCACGGGAAAGCAGGGCAAAGCTAGAACAAAAGGGTCAGGGTTACAGAGAATTTTACTGATACAGTGGAGTTACACTGGGTTGTACCAGGACCTCAGGTCATATGCATACTAAAAACAAATCATATCATAGAAGATTTGGGTTGGAAGGGACCTCAGGAGGTTGCATCTAGTCCACCTCCCTGCCCAAAGCAGGACCAGCCCCAACTACATCATCCTAGCCAAGGCTTTGTCTTGCTGGTTCTTGAAAACCTCCAAGGATGGACCTTCTACCACCTCTCTCGGTAATTTGTTCCAGAGCTTCACCACCCTCCTAGTGAGAACATTTTTCCTAATATCCAACTTAAACGTTCCTTACTGCAACTGGAGTCCATTGTTCCTTGTTCTGCCACCACTGGGAACAGTCCAGCTCCATCCTCTTTGCAACACCCCTGCAGGGAGGTGAAGGCTGCTATTCAATCCCCACTCAGTCTCCTCTTCTGCAGACTAAATAAACCCAGTTCCCTCAGCCTCTCCTCAAGTCATGTGCCCCAGCCCCCGAACGATTTTGTTGTTCTCCTCTGGACTCTCTCCAGCTTGTCCACATCCTTTCTATAGTGGGGGGCCTAAAACTAGACAGTACTCCAGGTATGGCCTCACCAGTGTAGAATAGAGTGAAATAATCACTTCCCTTGACCTGCTGGCAGCGCACCTACCAGTGCAGCCCAGGATGCTGTTAGCCTTCTTGGCAGCAAGGGCGCACTGCTGGCTCCTATTCAGATTACTGCCCCCTGTCCCCCCCAGGTCCTTTTCTGCAGAGCTGCTACTTAGCCCGTCAGCCCCAGCCTGCACCGGTGCATGGGACTGTTCCCTCCTAAGTGCAGGACTTTGCACTTGTCCTTGTGAACCTCATGAGATTTCTTTTGGCCCAATCCTCCAATCTGTCTAGGTCACTCATATGCAGGCAAAAGCTTTATTCTACCTGATCAGAGACAGTTAGCAATACTTACACATACCATCTTTTTAACATACTTTGTGGACATGAAAAGTTGGCAATGAGGGTGCAATTTCTGATCTATGTTGCAAAATGAATAAACACCAACCTCTCTAAATTCTAATTTTCAATCTGCAATACAATACTTTTGGTCCTTCTGACTTAAATTACAAGGCCTGGTGTCAAAGTCAATATCTAGAGGCAATTGAGAGCTGCAAGTCCATTTCTTTGGCTTATTATTGGGTGTTTTATTATTCCATAAAAACAAAGTGCAGTTTACAATTCACTGTGTGGATTTTATTTTTCTCCCTTGACAAGGAAAGATCCACAAAATGAAAATTTACTTTAGGACCCAAGTTTGGGAGGAAGAAGGCATGGAATGGGTCTGTCAAAGTTATTTATACCAGCTGCACTATCAAAACTCCAGCTCCAAGGTACGGTTTGGCCTCTCTCATATGCGTGTCCAGCAAACGCCCAAGAAGTTGAATACCACAGTGCAACGCATGCAGAACGAGCGAGAGAGCTTCAGGAGACATGTGACTTGTTAAGTTAGTAGCTAAACAGATGCTTGTCAGCAGTGTATTTAAGAGGAGACCCTGGTTCCCATGACCTTACAGAAACTAGGTTTTAATGGGAAGAAACACCATCTTGTGGTGGCCAAATCTTCATGGAACAGCACAGTGAGGAACTAGAAGTCCCTTGTTTATTAAATCTGGAGGAACTTGGAAAGCCAAGTTGGCTGGGCCTGTGACTCCAGGATCAGCTTCCAGTCCATGGAGAATTTCATAGTGCAGGACGATAATAATGACAGCAAAAAATAAAACATAATTAAGTTGTTCAGAAAAAGCCTGCTGGCAATTGTCAAAGCCAGAAATGAGGCGGCCAAAAAAAGGGACAGGCAAAGTTTTTTCAAGTGCAACGGGAGGGAAAAAGGGGGGATCGGACCACTTACCATCTAACAGCACAGCAGAGAGACCTAATTAACCTCGTGCTCAATCAGCTGCATAGTTGCACCAGGAATGCCAGGGATATCGCCTCCCTCACTTCTTGTGTGTGGAATAAATTGTAACTACCTGATGGACTCGCGCTGCCATTCTGTGTCCAGGCATCAACTAAAACGAATCCCTCTAGTACCAACAATACCGCCCACCCAATGCAAAATACAGAGCGCCATACCCAACACAGAAACCCCAAAAAGAAGGTAGTCAGCCTTTATGTTTAAACTGGGGGTGTCAAACATACTGTCTACAGGCTGCATCTGGCCCATGGTGCTGCCCGAGGGTCTGCAAGTTGACCCACAGGGAGCACCAGATGGCCCCATGCGCTGCATGTGGTGCCTACTCCAGTTCACATGGGCTCCATGCTGCATCTAGTGGCATGTCCTGGAGCAGCCACTGCATGCAGCATGGACTCGGGGGGGCAGAGCAGGATTATGCTGCATGCAGAGTCCACTCCAGCCCTTCCAGGACCCAGGCTGCATGCAGGGCCAGTCTGTAGGTCTGATCCTACCCAAGTTTAATAACCTTGTCTTAAGCCAAAACCCGGACTCCAGAACTACATCTGCCTATTCAGCCCCATATAGACGTGTTCCAAGGAGTGCAGCATCCCAGATTCATTCACCTGGGCCCCAGCCAACATCATATATGCCATCACCTGTTTACAAGGCCCATCTGCTGCCTCCATCAGACAGATCACTACATGCAAAAATGAACAAACGCTGATCTGACATCAGCTGCAGAAAGGCACAGAGCCTGTGTCAGAAAACCTGAGCCTCCCTGAACATTGCATTGCTGACCTCAGGATGTTGTTCTCAGGCAGCAAAATTGAATGGGAAATTGCCAAAGAAGAAATAATCTGCAGGCTGGATTGTGTTAAGTGTGATTTCAACAGGGACCACAGATTCTTATCCTAGTACCTGGATGAGGCTCTGCAACCCCGCTGTCCCTATGGGCTGTTTGCTTGCCTGCTTGTCTCCCCACTTCTCCTCCTCCCTCCTCTCCCTCCCCATCTTCTGTATTCAAAATCACCCCCTCCACTTTATGCGCTGCTCTATGCTGTCCTTTCACAACATCTGACAAAGTGAACTCGAGCTCATGTGAGCTTGTGCTCTATATGTTTCTTCTTTAGTTAGTCTATAAGGTACATTTCTATTCTGCCTTCTACTGCTGCAAGCCAAGCAGATAATTTGGTCAGGGAAGGAGGTCTCAACTAAAACCAGCGGTGGCAGCCACCATTAGAAAGAGCTCCTCTTATGAGACCTTGGGAAGTCAAGGCAAAAAGCAGCAAACAAAGCAGCCTTCCTGGGGTCACGGAGACACGGAAGAATCCCACGTGCATTGCAAATGCATCATTAATTCAGGACAGTACCATACAACAAAAATGGGAAGAGCCTTTGAATGAAATCAGAGAAGCTAGTACTGCTGTCAGCCTGGGCAAATATCAGCCCATCCAAGCCAACGCATGGGAAATCTCTCTGCCGGTTCGAATCAAATCAAGAACAAGCCATGCCCAAAGGCCACAAACCAGGTTTGCTTGAGCTGGTGCTGCAATGCTGCAAAGGCTGCTGGTCTGGAGGGAGCCCAGTGCTGCGGCAGCTCCGGCTCTCACTGGCTGGTGTCGTGATGGAGCACTGCTGCTCCCTGCCACCACTGTATAAATAAGTCGCTGCGCTGCGCTGCGTTCGCAACACTTTCTCGCCACGGCCAGCAGCCCGTGCTAGGCTGGCTCGCACTGGAGCGGTCCTCACAGAGCGCTGCACACAGTCGTGGCATCCAGAGATGTGCCGAACCTTAGTTTAAAATGGATACACATAGAAGTTTAATACAGCTCTTTGGGCACTGTATCCTGGTTCAGAGGGACCCACCTGCCCATTCAGACTCTCCTCTGTAGCTTGCAAACTTCAACATCAACTAACAAAACGATGATTGGCCTCCAAATAGTCCCAACAAGTGCAGTCAAAGAGAACAGATCGGTTTTGACTGAGGTTCCCTCAACGCAGTCGCAAACCTTAGGGAAAGTTTCAGTGAGCTAGCTTGAGCTTTGAGTATTAACATAGTCTGAGCCTTTTGGGGCTCACTGGGAACAGTCTATTTTAAATGAAAACCCCAAATCTAATTTATATATATATAGCAAGGTGAAAGTATCATTCTGCTGAGCCTTTTAGACTGCTGCTGCCTGAACTGATATAGTAGAAAGGGATGAAAAAGCAGCAGATAATCTGCCTGACCTTCCAGCACCTGATTATCTCTTCTCTAGGAAAACAAGGCCGAAGTACTACTTCATTCTAGCTTGTCAAGAGCAGAGTTGGACCTGAGCCACGGAGACTGGATCTGAACGGTGATAACGTTCCCAAGTTTCCAGAAGGGAGAATCCGCAGAACATCAAACACAACTGACTGATCATAACAGCAGAATTCAAGGCCCAAATATATTAAGACAAAACCATAAATACACAAACAATGCCTTCTCAACAGAGATGACAGTTTTAGTAGGCAAGGCCAAGAACAATTAAGATTTTTTTTTTTTTTTTTTTTTTTTTTTAAAACCTTTTTTTTTTCTTTACCAAGCAT